CCCCTGAGCCTCTGGCCTGTACCCCAGTTCTGTATTGCACAAATAAATAAATTAAAAAAAAAAAAAAAAGTTTCCAGAAATCTAGGTGGGGTCAGAAAAGATTATCAGCCAGAAGAAGTGGGGGCAGAAAAGGTTATTAATCACAGAAGACCAGCTCAACTGGAACCAAGGCAATAAATTCCACAATAATTCCATCCAAGAACACCCCTTATCTGGCAAAATACAGTTCCTGTCTTTTAAGAATGCCTGCTGCTGTCTATGCAGATTGCGCTCATATTTTTGCCTTACCTCAGTAAACATTCTGTTACAGGTAGTGAGAGAGGGGCACCCCTAAACCCCCAAACCTGCCCACTCTAACTAGGTTCTGCTATCCGCCACATCAAGACAAAACAAGACCTTTAATGGAAAGGAACTTTAATACAATTAGTGTGCAATACAAAAAAGATAAAGAATATAGTTTCTAAATCAAACACCTGAAGTGACCTATCCCCTCGTGAGTAAAAGTCCACCCCAAAGGGATGGGCCCAAAGCAAGGCCTGAAAGCCCAAAGCAAGGCCTAAAAGCCCACCACAAGTCCAAAGCACCTTCCAGCAGGGACCCAAAGAAAAGGATCAGACATGGCCAGACAAGTCTGGAAGGAAAAGAGCAAAATCAAAATCAAGATAAAGGCTGCCATAGTGAACCTCCCCACGGGTCTCTCACCCACATCTGTTTCAACCAGTCCAAGGCCAAGAAACAAGAGCCACTTCTTCACATGTCTCTCTCTGCGCCTTCTGCCTCCCTCAGGTCACCTTCTGGCGTCAATCCTGTTTCCTCCTCAATCTCCTCTCTAGATTCTTCTCTCTGCTCAGCTCCACCCTCCTTTTGGGTGGGGCGGGAAATTTGGAACCTCCCCTTTTCCTGGGAACCACCCTGTTAACAATTCCATGTGCTGATGAATGGGGACCCAAGAACTCCATACCCTAGATCTCATCATCTGAATCCCAACAGGGGCACCAGTCAAGGTGTTTGATTTTCCCAGCAGGGAATTGTCTCAGCAATCATCAGGTACTTGTTTCTCATGTTACTTTTAACTAAGAGAAGCAGAGGTTATAATTTCTGTCTCTAATTTTAAAAAAATTATTTATTTATGCATACAGAACTGGAGAACAGGCCAGAGGTGCAGGGTGAGAGGATTCACCAGAGCCAGAGTGAGGAGCAGAACAGACAGATGGACAAAGTACACTGCTGAGTTGAGCAGCGGGGGGCCATGTTGGTCACCTCCCTGGCCAGGGCTCCAACTGGAGCTGAAGTGGCTGGCTAGCTTCATAGTGCTGTGCTTTAACCCATTGCACCACCAGGCAGGGCCCCCTCTACTTTCTACTGGGGTTATCAGTTTTCTCTAAATCTTCCAGAAATGCAGTTGTAATAAATTAATGGTTAACTATAAAAAGGGAATGAGGTGATGCAATTTAGTGAGTTAACAGTTAACCCTAGAGGGGAAATGCAACTCAATAATCAGAATTTATTTCCGCTTATTCCCAAATTTTCAGTCTAGGGGAGGTTTTTGTTGTTGTTGGAAAATGTTGGGCATCTGGCTACAAATGGTGCAAGAACTAAATGCTTCTTAACATCTGAGTTTCTCTGCTAACTTCTTGACCACATAGATGGGTGTGTACCCAGAAGGAAGGCTCAAATTCTAGTTACTTTGTGTCCCTCTGCCTTTAGATAAGGCATTTCCCTCCCTGAACTTTGTAAAATTAGATTAAGAAGTTATATGAGAGCAACTGCAGGAATTTAGTTCAAAGCATGAACTTGACTACAGGAGTCCAGGCTCCTGATGTGTGTCCTTGAGCAAGTCACTCACCTTAGTTTTTCATCTGTAAAATGGGAACAGCCGAACAGCCACTGCACTGTGGCTGTGAAGATTAAAATACCTGACATACACAAAAAATATCTATTGCAATACCAGGGCTGAAATAATTTTCAAAACATGTCCTGTTTTTAATTGTTCTTATTTCTCCGCCTCACGGATAGGATGGTCCAGGAATCGACTCAGGTATCTACTTCTTTGTGTCCGGGCTCAAGCACCAAAGCCCTTTCTGGCAGCTTCGGACTGTGCTTTTTACTGTTTTCCATTTGACTTTCTAACCTACTGCCCTTGCAAAAGCAGGTTCCTTGAGGCATTTGTTACAAATTTAAGACTGGACAAGGCTACCAACCACTGAGTGCCTTCCAGGTGCCTGGTGCCAACCTCATGAAGCTTATAGATGAGAAAAAACTGAAGCCCAGAGAAGGGCAGGGACCAGCTTAAGACCTCAGAGATAGAAAGCTCAGAAGTGGACCCAAACCCAGAACTGTCTCTAGACTTCCATGTTCTTCCTAGAAGCCACACTTTAATAGGACAAACCAACGTGAAGGTGGTAGAGCCCACTGTCAACAGCAGGGTTTGCGTGGATAGTGTGGCTGGAGTTGAAGTGGAAGAGTGCTTTGACACAGAGCTATTTCCACGAAAGCTTGAGGCTTGAGGTATCTATGAGATAAAAAAACGTCTGAGGTCATATGGCACCACATGCGTTTTGTTTTGCTTTTGGTTTGGAGCCAAGCTCAATGATGTTGCAATCTCACACTATCACCTTACCAGTGTTCCTCCTGCTCTTGAAGATAAGAAAGGACCCACAGCCTGGGGGCCAGGGAGCTCTGCCTCAGAAACCCTGAGCAGTCTGCCCCTGCCCTGCCTCAGCTGACTGCGGAGCTGAGAGAGCGCGTAACCCAAGCATCAGGATTTACCGCCATGGGCAGGAAGCTGGTGTATTAGCGTGTAAGGGATCAAGGGAAATAAAAATATATATGTATATAGATATAGGTATAGATATATTATATATATAATACAGATATTATATGTATCTTATATCTATCTATCTATAGATAGATAGATATATCTTATATATATAGTAATTGTAATACAGTAAAAAGAACATCAACTAACAACTATAGACTGGGGGAGGAAAGGGGAACAAGATCAGAACTAGGGTGGGAAGAGCACAGGGACTATGGCGATGGCACAGGGTGAAGTGGTGGGAAGCCCACGGGGATTACAGCGGAGATAAAAACATGTACAAAATAAAGAAAGATGTAAAGAATATATAAAGTTTTTTTTTTTAATACAGATGGAAAAAGACTCATCATGGAGACTTTGAGGAAGAGACTCTGGGGCTTTGAGGACTACCCTGTTTCCTTGTGCTGAATATTGACTCTGAAATAATACCCACAAAGCCTGTTCATAAAGCAAAGCAGAACTTGTTTAAAAAAAAAAAGAGGCATGAGACATGCATGCCAAGTGACCCCCAGCAGGCGTCTACTTGGGGGAAGTGAAAGCCCTCAGGGTCCTATTTTTAACGAAAGGCTTGATGGCAATACTCTCACACATAGGAAGTCGCAATATTTACTTTCAAACCTGCGGAACAGGGAGAGAAGCCCGGGGAAGGACAGAGCTCTAGAGCCCCAGGTCCCCGGACAAGGGCGGGGTAGCTGGCCCGGTTACTTAGCATTTTCTTGCGCTCATACCTAGGGCAATGGGAAAAGCTGCCCCAGGAAAAGCCAAGTGGGAACTTGCGGTAGGAATCCTCATCCAGATTCTGCCTAGGCCATTTTGTTGTACTTATTAACAACATATATTGGGGATATCAGTGTTATTATAAAAGTATACATGTTCACACAAAATGATGT